GCGGGCGGCGGGCCAATGGGGGCGCGGCGGGGGCGGAGCGCGGCGGCGCGGCCCCCACGTGCCCGGCGCGCGCAGCGGGGGCTCCGCTCATGGAGGCGGCACCGGGAGCGGGACCAGGACCGGGAGCGGGACCAGGACCAGGACCAGGACCAGGACCGGGACCAGGACCAGGACCGGGACCCGGACCGGGACCCGGACCCCCCGGGCGGGCGCCCCCGCAGCCGCCCACGGGCCGCGAGCTGCTCCGGAACCAGCGCAGCGAGTCCCAGGTGAGGACGGAGCCGCCGCGGTCCGGCCGCTGCTCCGGGTCGGCTCCGAGCCCCGCTCTGCCCCCGGGACGGGACGGGAGCCGCGCGGGGGAGCGCGGAGCGCCCGGCGTCCCGGTATCCCGGTATTATCCCTGGATCATCCCAGTATCCCTGTATTATCCCTGCACTCCGACCCGACATCCCATCCCTGCATCGCTGTTTTATCCCTGCGCCCCATCCCAGGATCCCATCCCTGCATTATCCCTGCACTCCATCCCAGGATTCCACTGCTGCATTATCCCCGAATCCCTCTATCCCTGCTTGCGGTCTCTGCCAGGCGCTGCACCCACCTTGGATGCAGCCCCTGGAGCATCCGCTGCGGCGGCACCCGGGATCTCCGGCTCTGTGCAGTGGGCAGAGGGAGCAGGGGGAAATTCCAGGTTTCTGGAGCTGGATCCGCAGGGTTTCCCTCGCAGCTGGGTCAGAGCCACCCGCTGCTTGAAGCACCCTTGAGAAAAGGGTTTTGGGGCCAATTAACAACAATTAACAAAGCGCTTTTGCCTCCCACCCCTGGCGGAGCTGCTCGGTGCTCCCGGTGCTGCTGCTTATCCCAATTCCTGGCCGGCTTTGGCCGCGCTTGGCTGCGAGCCACCCGGCATTCCAGCCTCCCGGCTTTTCCTGGGCTGCAGTGGGTGTTTTGGCCGCCCCAACCCTTCCTTGCAGGGAGCCGCGGGCAGCGGACACAAATATCCCTTTTCCCTGGATGCAAATCCCAAGCCGGGAGAAAATTCCCAGCCATGGAGGAGCTTCCCTTGGGTTTCCAAGACCGGGCGAGTTGTCCGAGCCCAGGTGTAAACCGGGAATACGGAAATCCCGGCTCCTCCTCCTCCTTCCCCATCCAAACGGGTGTTGAGCAGCAGATGAGGTTAATTCCTCGCGCTGCCCGTGGCGAAGCCTCGCGCTCGCTCCAGTTCTCCGCCAGGATCGCTGCGGGGCAGCCAGGCACTTCCCAGCGTCCCGGCTGAGCCGTTGGGTGGAAAAGCCGAGGGCCGTGATGGAGACGGTGGAAACCTGATGGCTCCGTGTTCCCTGGCACGGATATTGTGGATACTGGGATAGCTCTGCTGCCGATCCGGGCGGCCGGAGCACCGCGGGGGATGATGCGGAGCTCCGGAGGCCGCTAAGCGGGACCGTTGTTCTCTGCAGGGCTCCATGGAGTGCCCCAACCTGGAGTTCTGCTACGGAGACGCCGACGGCCTCGCGCCGGAGCTGGCAGGTACAGAGGGTCCTGGCGTGTGGGAATAACAGAGCTGGGAAGCCGCTGGAACGGCGGGATTTGGGGCGCCCGGGCGCGATGGCAGCTCCTGCTGGATGCAGAAGTGCCGGGTCCTCCGGCAGCAACGGGCTGCACAGAACGGCCCCTGGGCTGCTCCTGGGGTCCCCGCTGTCCCAAACGGACAGTCCCCCCCAAAAAAAGACCCCAAAGAAACAGGGCTGGGAGGAGGAGGAGGGTGAAGGCCCCGTGGCCGCCTGCTGCCCCGCAGAGCTCTACAGCTACACGGAGGAGCCCGAGTTCGGCGCCAACCGCCGCTGCTTCGAGGAGGAGCTGCAGCGCCAGGGTAGGTGCCCTGGGACACCCCGTTTGTCACCTGCCCCCCCAGCACGGGGCTGGGGACACCCTGCTTGTCACCTGCCTCTTGCAGAGTGGGGACGGGGACACCCTGCTCGTCACCTGCCCCCCCTCAGCATGCGGCTGGGGACACTCTGCTTGTCACCTGCCTCTTGGCCACGCGGGGTCGGGGACACCCCACTTGTCACCTGCCCCCCCAGCATGGGGCTGGGGACACCCCGCTTGTCACCTGCCCCCCCCAGTGTGCGGCTGAGGACACCCCACTTGTCACCTGCCCCCCCCAGCATGTGGCTGGGGACACCCCGCTTGTCACCTGCCTCTTGGCCACACGGGGTCGGGGACACCCCACTTGTCACCTGCCCCTCCAGCACGGGGCTGGGGACACCCTGCTTGTCACTTGTCCCCCACAGTGTGCGGCTGAGGACACCCCGCTTGTCACTTGTCCCCCACAGTGCAGAGCTGGGGATACCCCACTTGTCACCTGCCCTTGGCCATGTGGGCCTGGGGACACCCCACTCATTACATGCCCCTTGGCCACGTGGGGCCAGGGACACCCCGCTCGTCACCTGTCCCCCGCGGCGCGCGGCCGGGGACACCCCGCTCGTCACCTTCCCCTTGCAGAGTGGGGCCGGGGACACCCCGCTCGTCACCTGTCCCCCGCGGCGCGCGGCCGGGGACACCCCGCTCGTCACCTTCCCCTTGCAGAGTGGGGCCGGGGACACCCCGCTCGTCACCTGTCCCCCGCGGCGCGCGGCCGGGGACACCCCGCTCGTCACCTTCCCCTTGCAGAGTGGGGCCGGGGACACCCCGCTCGTCACCTGTCCCCCGCGGCGCGCGGCCGGCGCTGGGCGCAGCTGGGGGACGCGCAGCAGAGGGGCCTCGTCATGCGCCTGCTCGACGGGCTCGACGCGGCCGGCAGGGAGCGGCGGCTGCGGGCGGCGCGCGCCCTGCTCTACCTGGCGCAGGGTAAGGGCCGCGGGACGGGCCCCGCGTCCCGCCTGCGCCACCCGAGCCCCCTGGGGACCCTCTGGCCCCCTGGCTCCGTCCGAGCGCTGCCCGCGCCGCCCCAGGCACCTTCGGGGACTGCGAGGACGAGGGTGACGTCCTGCGCTGGTCGCGGCACAACTGCTTCCTGCTCTACCAGATGGGGACCTTCTCGGCCCTCCTGGAGCTCCTCAACATGGAGATCGAGTGAGAGCACCCGTCCCTCCACCCCTTCCTCCTCCTCCTATCTCTCCTCCTCTTCTTCTCCTTCCTCCTCCTCTTCTCTCTCCTCCTGCTCTTCTTCTCTCTCCTTACTTCTTCCTCCTCTTTCTCCTTTTCTTCTCCCTCCTCCTCCTTTCTTTCCCCCTCCTCTTCCTCCTCCTTTCTCTTTCCTCCTCTCCTTACCCTTCCTCTTCTTCCCCTTCCTCCTTTCTCCTCTCCTTTCCCTTCCTCCTCCTCCTATTCTCCTTCCCCTTCTTCCTCCTCCTTCCCCTTCCTTCTTCCTCCTTTCTCCTCTCCTTCCCCTTCCTCCTCCTCCTATTCTCCTTCCCCTTCTTCCTCCTCTCCTTACCCTTCTTCCTCCTCCTGTTCCACTTCTCCTTCCTCCTCCTCCTTTTCCTCCTCCTCGTCCTCCTCCTCCTTTCCTCGTCCTCCTCCTCCTTTCCTCGTCCTCCTCCTCCTTTCCTCGTCCTCCTCCTCCTTTTCCTTCTCCTCCTCCTTTCCTCGTCATCCTCCTCCTCCTTTTCCTTCTCCTCCTCCTTTCCTCCTCCTCCTTTCCTCCTCCTCCTTTCCTCCTCCTCCTCCTCCTCCTTTCCTCCTCCTCCTTTCCTCCTCCTCCTCCTCCTCCTTTCCTCCTCCTCTCCTTCCCCCTCCTCCTCTCCTCTCCCTCCTGTCCTCCCTCCGCACTGCCTGCCCGGGCCGGGTGGCACAAGGCTGGTGGCCACACCAGCCGCGTGGGCGCTGGGGACGCGGCGGCAGCTCCCACGTGCTCCACGGCACCTTTGGCCGCTGACGCCCGTCGCCTCCCTGCAGCAACAGCCAGGCGTGCAGCAGCGCCCTGCGCAAGCCGGCCGTCTCCCTGGCCGACAGCACGGAGCTCCGGTAAGGCCGGCGCGCTGGCCGCGCTGCGCACGGCGCCGCGGCGCTGCCGGCGTCACCGCCCGCGCTCCCCGCAGGGTGCTGCTCAGCATCATGTACCTCATGGTGGAGAACATCCGCGTGGAGCAGGAGCCGGAGCCTCCCGCCTGGAAAAGCTGCCGCGAGACCTTCCGGAAGGAGCTCAGTGCGTGTCCGTGTCCGCTGCGCGCCGAGCGGCTCCGTGTGTGCGACGGGGTCCCCGGGAGCCCCCAGGGACGGGGGCTGTTTTAGCGGGGCCGCTCCGGGCCCTTCCCTGCAGGCTTTCCCGGGCAGGCCGAGGAGCCCTTCGCGCTCCTGCTGCTCACCATGCTGACCAAGTTCTGCAGCGGACATGCTCCGCACTTCCCCATGAAGAAGGTCCTGCTGCTGCTCTGGAAGGTGCTTCTGGTGGGTCCTCCATCCTGCAGTGTGTTTGGTGGGGAGTGGTGCTTGGACTCAGGCAGTGCGGCTGGGAGTCTCTGCTGTCCAATATGGGGTTGTGTGGGATGGTGAATGGAGGGAAAAAGGGGCCAAGCTCTTGTGGGTGGTGGCCAAGGGGCCCTGGGGCCAAGCTGCAGCGCAGGCAGCTCCACGTGGCCGTGAGGAAGAGCTTGTTTGGTGGGAGGGTGCCCGAGCCCTGGCCCAGGCTGCCCAGGGAGGCTGCGGAGGCTCCTGCTCTGCAGATCTGCCAGCGCGCCGGGATGCGCCCAGGTGCTCCGGGTGTCCCTGCTGGAGCAGGGGCTGCGCTGGGGGGGCCCTGAGGGTCGCTGCCAACCTCAACCATCCTGTGCCTCTGTGTTTCCCTAGTTCACGCTGGGCGGCTTCGAGGCGCTGCAGGCCACCAAGGTGAGGAGGCGGCAGGAGCTGGGGCTGCCGCCGCTGCCCGAGGACAGCCTGGAGGTGACGCGCAGCCTGCGCGCGGCCTCGCCGCCCGCCTGCTCCGCGGAGCCCTGCGAGCCGCCGCCGCCGCCCAAGCGCGGCCACCGCAGCCGGCGGGTACGCGCGGCCGCCCGCAGCCCCCGCTCCCGCGCGCCGCTCTCCCCTTCCTCCCGCAGCTGCCTCTTCCTCTGCAGCCCCTGGTGAAGCAGGACAGCCTGGATATCTACAACGAGAGAGACCCCTTCAAGAACGACGAGGCGGGAGCGGACGAGGAGGAGAGCGATGAGGTGGACGGCGGCATCGAGGGCGAGCTGGACCTGATGGAGCGGGAGGCGGTGATCCCGGCCGTGCCAGCTCAGCGCCCGCCCATGGAGAAGGTGTCCTTCCCCAAAGGGCTCCCCTGGGCGCCCAAAGTCAGGTAGAGCCTCCTGGTTTCGGTGCCATCCTCTTTTGCCCTGTCAGGGTTTGGCTGTGGCCTTCCTTGCTCTTTGCAAGTCAAGGGTGGCCAAGGTTGGCCAGTAAGTGGAAGGAAGGGCCATGATGGAAATCCCACGTGAGGGAGGCGGGTGGTGTTGGCCGGAGAGCTGCTTGAGGCCGGGCTGGCTCCTAGATAAGTCACCTGGGGATTCATTTAATGAAATCACCTCTCGTTTACTGCGTGGGCCTCCGGTGTGGCCAAACTGATCCTTCTGGAGCGGCCTCCATCGCGGCTGTGGAGCGGAGAGGATGAAGCTGGTGCCTTCCTTCCTAGGATGGGTGCCGCTCTGTGGGGCGCGGGGAAGGTTGGGAGCAGGGTGCGATGCTGTGCCCCTTCCCTCGAGTCAGCGCAGGCTCTTTGCTCTTGGGCTGCTGCCCGGATTTCATCTTTAAAATGCCACGGCAGATATATTTTCTGGCTTGGGAGGGCGCTAGGATTAAGTGTGCTCATGCAGAGCGCTCGAAGCAGGGACACAGTGGGGATCTGCTTCCCAAATGGGCCTCCGCACACGCGGTGCCATCGTATTCCATTTATTCTCTCCACCAAATTTGTGCTCTATTATTTTTTTTGCTCCAAACCAAATGGTTGATGTTTTTCTGAGTTGGAGCTGGGAAATCCAGCCCTGCCGAAGGCACCCGAGGGAGATGAGCTCCTAGATCGCTGCCCGGTCAGCTGCTATTAAAACCTCCAATAATGGATGCTAGGGAGCTAAAGGGATGGGCTGGTTGTACGCGGCTGCCTCCCTGAGCAGCCAGCGTGCTGACACCGTCTGTTCTCCTCCCTCCTGGTTCTTGTTCCTCTGCCGCTCCATCAGACAGAAAGACATTGAGCATTTCTTGGAAGCGAGCAGGAACAAGTTCATCGGATTCACGCTTGGACAGTAAGTCCCTCGTTTGACACGGAGGAAGGGAATGATGAGGGTCCCACTGTTCTGTTCCTCCCAATGATGGGATATTCCCCCCATTTTCTGGAAGCTTTGCTGGGGAGGGCAGTGTGGGCAGCTCAGCTGAAGATCCCTCTGAGTTCCTGACCCCCTGGCCTGGGCTTGGCAGGCTCCAGGCTTCCCCTTCTCCCTTGTGGTCTGAAACTGAAGTGTTTAAGCCCAGATCTCCTTCCAGCCTTGTCCTTACCTTCTCCTTTGCCCCGCAGGGACACCGAAACCCTCATAGGGCTGCCCCGGCCGATCCATGAAAGCGTGAAGACGCTCAAGCAGGTAAGGTCTGCGGGGAGCCAGCCCCGAATCCTGCTGCGGGGACTTGCTTGTCTCGCCGCCTGCCGTGCTGGGGAGGCTTTGCTTCTTGGCAAGGATCAAATATCTCGTGGAGTGGGAGAAACCCTTGGCTGAGGTCAGCAGAGGGATCAGGGACATGCCTGAACTGGTCATGGTCCAATGCTCCATTGGTCAAAACAGTGGCGAAGAACAAGAGGACTAAATGCTCTTTGGCCACCCCTGCCTGAACCAGCCTGGAGGGTGGCTGTTAAACCCTTCTTTATGGGCAGACACTTGGAGCGATCCCTTTCCAGGCCTGTTTTGCTGCCCAAGAGGCCCCTTCTGCTCACAGCCCCCTTGGTTGCCAGCTCCATCTTCCGCACCCTTGATCATTTCCATTTTTCTCATCTCCTGTCATCCCTAGTCCAACGGCTTCCTTACCAGGTTAGCCAGCCTGTTGGCCAAGATACTTCTGCACTGGTCAGGTGGAGCCCATCTCTATCACGCAGCAGTCCTCGAAGGTGGTCCCATGATCACAGAAATGAAAACCAGTTTTGACACCAGCTGCACAACCTGTTGTTGACCCCATGTTTAGGTTTCTTCAGGCCCTCCCCTTTCACAGCAGGGACCACCCAGACCCCCACAACCTTGTCCTTTGCCCCCAGAGCCATGTCAACATGTTGATGCTCTCCAGGTGTCCTGGGCAGGATCACGAGTGCCCACATAGAAGAGCAGCAGGGTAATAGTCTAGAGGGACGCAGGAGCCCTCGTGGGCACCATTCGTCCCCATCCTGGGAGCTTCCCCTTTCTGAGCTGATAGACACCCAGTCTACAGCTGGAGGTTGTCCAGGACCTGCAATGTCTCAGAGAAGAGATGGTCAATGATCTCCTTCTTCTCTTTCTCCCCATGGGACATGTTCTGCTGCTCTCCTCATGCAGCTCCTTGACTCGGCAGCTCAGCTCCTTCACCACTGCTCACCACTCACCGCTCACCTTCCATAGGCAAGAAGCTCCCCAGCCCCAGGCTCAGTGTGAGCCCAAGTGCTCTTGGCCACCTCAGACGCTATTGCTTGGGGTGGCAGGGAAACATCAGCAAAGCTGTCATTGCTCAACACCTTCATCCTTCAGTTGCTGTATTTCTCTGTCTTTGTTTGTGTATTTTGCCAGCACAAGTACGTTTCCATCTCTGATGTGCAGATCAAGAATGAGGAGGAGCTGGAGAAGTGTCCTATGTCCCTGGTAAGAAGTCATTGCTGTCCGTGGTGAGATGGAAACGTGGAAGGAGGGCGGCAGAAGCAGCAGCCTCTGAGCAGTGTCACCATCGCATGATCGTCCCACTCCAATGACCTGGATGCTCTGCCAGTGTCTAATTGTGTTACAGAAATCCCTAAATTCCCCCTGGTCCTTAGGGTGCACCTCGGATGCTCCTTGCTCTACAGCAACACCCTGTTGTGATCAAACTTAATAGCAGAGGAGAAAGACCCAGCAGCTTCCTGCAGGCCATGGCCAAGGCTAAGTCCTCCACTTGGGTTTCACGCAGGTGGCTGACGTATCTCACATGGACTTGCCCTTTGTTTCTAATGCTTCTTTGTGCTAGGGGGAAGAGGAAGTCCAAGAAACACCCTGCGAGGTCTTGTATCGAGCCATGTTATACAATCTCCCCCAGTATATGGTAAGGCCACGTTTCTTAAAAGTAAAGCTGAGCTTATTGTGCTGGGATGATGGGCTGGTGAGACCCTGTGGGATTGAGGGCTCTCCCTGAGCTGAGGGCCATCTCGTCCTGCAGATAGCGTTGCTGAAGATCCTCCTTGCTGCAGCTCCCACCTCCAAAGCCAAGACTGACTCCATCAACATCCTGGCAGACGTGTTGCCCGAGGAGATGCCGTAAGTCCCTCCGCTGGCCGGCAGTTCCCAACACAGCACAAAATCTCTTGCTCCATCAGGATAGCTGGACTTTGCAGATGGGCTTGGGGGCTTCCAGATTTGGGAAGAGCGGAGAGTGCTGTCCTACCTCCAGGCAGGGACCATGGAAGGAGAGGCTGCCCATGGCCAAGGCAGGAATTCGGCAAGCTTGAACATTGTGCAACAGATTTGCTGTCCTCAGGGGTGTTTTTCTCCTACGCCCAGGCAATCCCATGAAGATGGGAACAGGTTTCCCAGCAGAGAAACCTTTCCTGATGCTCCCGTTTGGAAAACTATGAGCAGAGCAGCCCCTGCCAGCAGTCCTTGCTCCTGTCCCAACAATGCTGTTGCCTTGTTTCCCTCCCAACCAGCATCACTGTGCTGCAGAGCATGAAGCTGGGCATGGACGTGAACAGGCACAAGGAGATCATCGTGAAGAGCATCTCCGCCGTGTTGCTGCTGCTCCTCAAGCACCTCAAGCTGAACCACATCTACCAGGTGAGCGCTGAGAACAAGGAGCCACCAAGGGGCTCCTCAAGTACATGCGTCCCCTTCTTAAAGTATCTACATGGTCTTTTAGGCTGCAGATAGGTTTTCCATTGGGATGAACCTTAGCCCCAGGATGGGATCCCCTTATTCATGCCAGGATAACCCGCTTGCAATATAGCTTCGTGTTCCGACAAGATCCCTTCCACCTGTGCAGCAACAGCCTCCCAGGTCACAAGCTGAACTCCCCAAGATGGGCACGAGCAGAAGTTGTGCTGGCACGTGGGGAAGGGGATGGGAATAGGCTCGGCCTGCCCGAGCTCCAGTTACAAACTGTAGCACTGGATGGGACCTCGGGAACTTATCTAAGCTGTTCCTCCGTCCCAAGACAGGATCAAATTCTCAGGGCTCCTGTTTCAACAGAGCCCACGTGTCTGTGTCCTCGATGCGGAGTGACTTTCRGGCACATCATGCCAACTTGAGTGGTAGGCCACCTTGGACTTGGCTCCAAGTCACCTCTGTCACCCAGTTGCCATGTTGGTCTCACAGCATCCGCATGGAGCCGCCCAATGTGAGCTCCAGTTATCCTCGAGTTTTCTGTGTGCCCAAACAGGTCGAGCCTGGGGCTGGGAGCCGGTGTGGAGCCCTCTCAGTGGGGTCAGCAAAAGGAGGTTTAAATCAGGACTACGGCTGGTAACACTTCTATATAAAACATTAGCAGCTGCTAATGACTGCACTGGGGATCAGGGGCAGCGGGTTCTGCATTCACAGACGCTGCATGATTCCCCGTGCTTATGCACATGGCTCTTACTGCAGATTTTATCTTRAAAAGCTCCCCTGCAGTCATTAGGTGCAGCTGTCCTTAAGCTAATGCTCCCAGGTTGTACGGCAGCTCCAGGGCAATGCGTTTCCCAGGTGCTGGGGGTTGTTGTAAATGATGCCCGCTGTGTATGTGCAGCTGCCCCATCTAAGGTGCAAGCAGGAGAGGTGTGGAGAGCAAATCCTCGTGCTGACTTGCTTTCCAACGGCACCAAGGCTCCATTCGCTGGCGCCTGCTAATGGTGCCGCGTTTCGCTTCTCTCCCTCAGTTTGAGTACGTGKCCCAGCACTTGGTGTTTGCCAACTGCATCCCGCTGATCCTCAAGTTCTTCAACCAAAACATCATGGCTTACATCACCGCCAAGAACAGGTAGAGCCCCGCGCAGACACGCAGCGGGACCGAGGCACTTGTGGGTGCAGGCACAGCTCTAGGGCAGCGCGTTTTGCACTGCGCAAACACGCTAGAAGAGACTAAACCCTTGCTGGTTGATGAGGAAGATGAGGAGCGGGGGGTTCACGTTCTCAGACTACTCCTAAAACATGTGCAGATCCTGGYGTCCCTGCCTAGCTTGCTGGCAATGGGCTTGCTTTCATCTCCTGCAAGTCAGCCTGGTGCCTGCCGGCCACAGCCTGGGAACAGCTAGACGAGATAAGAGGCCTCTGGGCCTGCTCCGCTTTTTATAGCTGTGATTCAGCTCGCCTGACCTGTTTGGACTTTAAATAGTTGTCACTGCCTTTTGCTTCTGCTAATTTGGGAAGGGCACCTGGCCCTTTGCTGGCATCCGCATGTGGCCTGGCCGTCAGAAGTGACGCCAACGCGGTGCCAGCAACTGGTGGCAAAGGCGTTTACGGCTTCGGGACACAAGCTGGGGCCGTTCGGGCTCTCTCTGCGCGGTGCCACCAGCTCGAGGGTTGTGTGTGGGAGCCACGAGGAGCCCTCCGTGGGTCACACAAGCCCTTCCCATGTCAAACRCCTCGAGTGAAGCATGTGCAAGATCTTGTGGTCTCGGGGGACTTTCTTCCGAAGTCCTTCTGACTCAGTGGGAGTTGCAGACAAAGGGAAACACAAGTAGCTGTGCGATAGCACACCCTTCACTTTAGGTTAAGTGCAGATCTTGGCTGATATATTACCTCAGTACCTGTATGTGTGCACAAATATATATGTGTGTGTACATATATGTTTGTGTATACTTCTTATTGACTGCTTTTATAAAGGCAGTAGGTCTGAAAGGCTCACAAAGGCCTCCTTATGAATTTTATTGCCGGTAATACTGTGTCATATGTCTCCTTTGAACTTAAGAGCTGTTTTGTTTTGCCCTTTTTTTTTTTTTTCATGTATATAAATAAGTAATCTGTCATCTCTTAACGGAGCCCACATCCTCGAAGTGCTTATTAATGTGTTCAGGATGTGCTGCCAAGCCATGAGGAGCCAGCACTTGAACTGGAATTCCTGGTGGTGCAAACCACTTACCGTGCAAGGCACTTTGCACTTGCTGCCCGGGGGGGGCCTGTAATTCCGAGTCCAGGGAAAGGGAATATTGCAGATTGCTGGGGATAATAATGAGGTTATTTTAAAAGGTTATTTAATACTGGCTTATTTCTTTTTCTGTCTCCCACAGTATCTCTGTCCTGGATTATCCCTATTGCACAGTGCATGATTTGCCCGAGCTCACAGCAGAAAGCCTGGTAAGCAGAAAGGGTCCTTGGAACAAGTATTGCAACGCGCAACAGGAGGATGTTTTTTAATTTTCCTTTTCCTCTCCTCTTTTTCTATACTCTTTTCCTCTCCTCTTTTTTTTCTATACTCCCAGCCCTGCCAAAATTAGCCTTTTTTTCCTCCGGATTTTGAAAGCCACCCATCACTGCTCCCACTCAGTAGCAGCCACAGGAAGGTGGGGGAGAAAAGACTTTGCTTTTGAGCACCCTATAAAAGCAGCTGTTTCAGGGGCTCCACTTCTCTAGAACGTAGAGCCTGGTTTAAAAGGTTTTGTACGTTGGGTTTCACTAGATTTGCCCAGTTTTCACTAGATTTGTGCAGTTTTCGTTGGATTTGTCTAGGTTTTCACTAGCCTGAGCACTCATGTTTTGTAAGGGGCTGGTAGACGATGGAGCAAATTGCACCCAAGCCCCTACGGAGCTTAACCTTGGTACTGGGCAGTGCGATGGAAGGGTGAGCGTGGCACTGCACGTGCTACTAGTGAAGAAGGAAGCGTTTACAGGGAGCCCACCTAAAGCCAGTGTGATCTCATGTCACTTGGCTGCTGAAACCTTCAGCAGACGCTCTATTCCTTACCTTAGTAGGGATTAAAATCATAAAAAACAAGGTGAAGGACAATCTTTAGGTTTGCACGGCTGCTCCTGGCAGATGCCTCCTGGCTGTGGGCTCCAGGCCCCATGGTTTGTGCTCATCCGAATGCCAAGGTGGTGGCCGCATCCTGGCCCGATGGGGACATCTAGCGACAGGTCCCTGCGTGCTTGGCTGTCCCCAATGGTCTCAACCTCCTCGCTGTCCTCCAGCAGATGCAGTGGTCGGGCCCACGGTCCCGCTGCCTCCTGCAGAAGGGGACGTTGTGCTCTGTTAGAAAAATATACAGGAAAAGGGTTGTTTTATTTAATGCTACAAGGCTGACGAAAACTTATCTCCTAAAGCAGTTCTAGGACCAAACAGTTTTGCCTTGGTGTTCAAGGAGTAGCTGTGCTGGCCAAAAATAAACTGCCAGGGCAAAAACTTTTATGAGTAAACCTGCAGAAACCTGCTTGAACGTCACCGTGTGTCACCATTGTAGGGAGGATGCAACGATCTGAGAGGTCCCTCAAGAAAAAATGAGATGTCTGCCTGAGCTCCAATTACCCCTTAACCATTTCTCTGTGAAAATCATCTTCCCTGAATGAGGAGCCACATAACTTTGAAAAAAGGCTGCTGTTAGGGAAGGTTCTGGGCAGAAATCTCGTGTTGGGTTTATTTTTGGCTATGTAACATCTCCGAGATGATCCTAAATTCCTGATCTCTGTTGTACCACGGGGTGACACTTGGTCATCTTCCTGCTTAACCAAGTTCTAGTGTTTTCCTTTCTCTAGTGATCCTGGTTGGCTCAGCATCCAAATACATTTACATTTTAATTCCCTGGGGAACAAGGAATAGGTCAGCAGTGCAGGTCCCGGTGACGGAGCCTTTGGCTGTAGAACAACTGCTTTTCCCACAAGATGTAAATCAGGAGGCAACAGCTTTAAATAAGTCCACTCTTCTTGTCCTATAAAAATGACATGGATTAGATTTGCTGATAGCAAAGGTTTCCCGGAGCCATCCTGCCTGCCCCGAACGTTCCCTCCAGAGGATGCCCAAAAACCCAGAGCAGGTGACAAAATGACTTTTCATGAATTAAGGTTGAGACTTGCTACACATGGCTCACAAATTAAGCAGTCGCTTCCTTACAGGAATTGCCACTTGGGCTGGCTGCCAGTATGGTTTGCTCTGCGCGTCTTACAAATTAATTTCTATAATTAAGGAAAATGATTCTCTAAGCAGTGGTGCTCACTAGGCTTGAATTTGGTCTCTGAATACGAACAATGAATACAAATCTGCCACAATATACGTTAACTCTCTTCATACCTGTCTCCGCTTGCAGGAGGCTGGCGACAACAACCAGTTCTGCTGGAGAAACCTCTTCTCCTGCATCAACCTGCTGAGGATCCTGAACAAGCTGACTAAGTGGAAGCACTCCAGGACGATGGTAAGGCCAGGGCACGACCTCAGGGACTTTTATGCCTAGGGATCCCCATTTTTGGGATGTGTCAAACACTCCTGGGGCTCTAAGTTTGTACCACACATGTGCCAGGGGTCAGCACCCAAAGCCTTCCAGGCATACGGACATCATTTGCGTTGACTTCTATATGTTGTCTTGGATTTTGTTCACCTGTGAGCAGATGCTGGTGGTCTTTAAGTCGGCCCCCATACTGAAGCGGGCTCTGAAGGTGAAGCAGGCCATGATGCAGCTGTACGTCCTAAAGCTGTTGAAAATCCAGACCAAATACCTGGGGCGCCAGTGGAGGAAGAGCAACATGAAGACCATGTCTGCCATCTACCAGAAAGTGCGGCACCGCATGAACGACGACTGGGCTTACGGCAACGGTGGGTATCCCCGAGGAGGAACCTTTCTGCACCCAAAGCAGAAATCAGCATTTTCTACAAAATATCATTCATCAGCGTCTCTCTTATGACCCATTAGGATCCCCTGAGCTTGTTTTGGTCAGCACTGGCATTGTTTTTCCAGAAACTATAAGGCAACATTCAGCACCATCAGGAGGGAAAAGATTAATTTCATGAGAATTGGGTATAATCAGCTTAAAATAAAAATCTTTATGGAGAAAATGGCTATTTCATACAGATACAGAGTTCATAAAGACCAAGTTTCAAAACACTGATGTTGCATGTTTAAATAATATGACTGAAATACTATGGTTCTATCTCCAATTCAAAATTCTTTACAGCTTTTCAACATCTTTCTTAGTTAAATTTGTCTAATATTTAAGAATCTTTAGTTTCAGTAGATGCTGGCAGTCTTGCCAGGTTTGAACTCTATGCATTGAACGAACTGTTCTTTATCTCTGTCTCAGACATTTGTAGAAATTTGCAGTAAAAGTGGTGCAGTCATTCTGGAAAAACAAAAAACCCTAAGAGCTTAGTAATGGTACAGGTTCCTCAATGCACACTGAAAAGCAGAAATAATTGCATTTCCATAGGAAGCTTTCTGGCACTGCTTAATTTGCAAGTGAGGCTAACATATTCAAATATCTTAAATTAAAATGCATGCATAATGGGATCGGGCCAGGGATAGCGATTAGGAATAACTCCCTGGCTAATACCCTGGTCAATTCAGGCATGTGATTGCTGTAAATTCTTCACGGCCTTGTTTTATTCAAACCTTGTCTGAATTATGTTTTCACGTCACCGCATGCGTCTGGGTTCTGCTTCTTCTTCAACACAGACATCGATGCGAGACCCTGGGATTTCCAAGCCGAGGAGTGCACCCTGCGAGCCAACATTGAAGCCTTCAACAGCCGACGCTACGACAAGCCGCAGGACTCAGAATTTGCGCCCGTGGACAACTGCCTGCAGAGCGTGCTGGGACAGCGGCTGGAGCTCCCCGAGGATTTCCACTATTCCTACGAACTGTGGCTGGAGAGAGAGGTGTTTTCCCAGCCCATCCGCTGGGAAGAGCTGCTACATTACCAGTGAAAGCAGCACTGGTAATGCTTGAGGTCACCCCTCAATACCAATGCAAGGTGCTGAGGAGAAAGAAGACTATTTTGATCCATCTTTATCCTCTTTTTATCCATCCAGGCACCTCGGAGTAGGCAATTGCACATCTATTTGGAGAGCCTTCCATTGATTTCTTGGAGGCCAAGCAATACATATGGATCTGCACGTGGCAGGCGAGGACCGGCTTCTAATACCGTATTGGTGGCAATCTCAAGGGACTTTGAGCTCAGCCTGTCTTCACATTTGCATCAGTGCCTGGAAGATCAGACTCTGGGCCTGGTGTTTAGCCCTGTTCAGGCACGTAAGTTGGTTGTAAGAGCATCTCATCTGTGAAAGGCTTTCACCTCTCCTAAATACCCCACATTGGGCCTGATTTCTTTTCCTGGTTGTCCACTGAGATGCTTTGAACATCCCACTGTTGTGACCGAGATGCCCCAGCTCCCTGCCGAAGGCAAATACAACAACTAGTTGGACTCTCTGCAACCATCTCAAGCAGAGGCTACAGGTTCATTAGCCTGAGGGAGACTAAATTACCTGGTCCCTAAATTACCTGGTGCTGCTGAGATTGCACAGCCCAGCTCACAGAGGCCCATTTTCAAAACCAATGGGTTCTGCATCTTCACCAGGGAGAGAAATCCATCTCCTTTGCCACAGCTATCCTTTTCTTCACCACTACATTCACTTCACTTTCACACTAGAGCAAAATGAGCCACAAGATCATCTGCATTCAGAGCTGTAGAGGAAGCTGAAATAGAGAAGTTGCCATGTTTCTATTAGATACAAATTCAGAATTACTGGCACAGAAATGTCTACAAGTGCCATGTGAAAGCAATTTTTTTCCCCTGATCTATCAAGAAGCAAAGGCAGGGGAATAAAAGTGCAGCAGGATGTTTTTTCTGAAGGATAATTACTGCAACATGGTAGGTTTCTGTTCAGCCCTTCCAACACTGGATGAGACAGAAAAAAAGTCCCACTGGAAATAACCCTTCTGGTTTTTACACAGCTTTTTTGGTTTGGGCAGGGGGAAATCTCACCGCTATGCCTCAAAACAGGGAGGGAAGAGCACTTCAGCTGGCATTTCGCTGCCTGCATGCGCACAAAAGAGCAGCCAGTGCAGCCCATGCCTTTCAAATAAAAGGGGTATTACGGTCCATGCATTAACCTTAAGGTCCGTGCACGCTCCACCTCTAGGAAAAGCCGTGGTTGGTGGCCATGCCAGCTTGAAGGAAGGCTGCAAACGCTGGGGAGAGCTGGGAGACAACCAGGGGACGAGTCTCAATCTTTAGCCTAGTGTGGGGAAAAGTCCCTTCTGCCCAGCCCAGACCCATCCAGGGGGCTGTGCTGCAACAGCACGCTGTGTTTTACGATACTTTCTTCAATATTATAAAACAGGGCCTGCAAAATATGAGCTTTCTCAACAGAATTTTGTCAGTTTGGCCTTAGCCAGCAAAGGCCTTAGCACCAATTTTGGATTTATATTTTTGTCCCCTCTCACAAAAACAGGAAGCAAGCATGCATTTATAATAGAGTACAGGTAAAATTTTACTTCTCTTCAACAATATCACTATTCGTATATTCAAGCATATGAGCGATAAGGCCACAAGTATTTGTTATGATGGGGTTTGTGCTTACTGCTGTGGAATTAAACTGAGAATGGTTCCTTAATGTGGTTTGTAAGAGGCATTTTTGGAAAAAAAATAGCATTAGCAAGCATGCTTGCCTTTTTAAATAAGCCTTTGTTCAAAATAAATCAGAACTTTTAAATGGATGCATTTGTTTTTTTCTTTTCTTCTTATACCTTAATTTAAATGCTTCCTTTGTTTGAAAAAGCAAAACAGAGCAACCTCCCCAAAAACTTAGCTCTGTCTTTTCCCCATCTCTGTTCTCTCACTACTGGAAAATGACTTTTGGATGTATTTTGGATGTTTTATACTGGTATATCTGTAGAAAGCTAAACAACCCAAATAACAGACTTCTTGGGTGTAGATGTATTTATAGTGTTAGAAAATGCAGTACTAATAGTATAAAATAGTAGAAGTACAGTACTAAGATTACTATTTTCAGCCATGTCCTAGGGGAGAAAGTCCAGGGCTGGACAGGCAGTCCTGGATTTTCATGGCATTGTTTTGGCATCAGATATTCCTACGGAATTGTTTTTTCCCCATTTTCCCCCTCAAGCCAGAGTGCTGGGCACTTCAGAATGAAGTTTACGTAGCTTCTCTGAAGCAGAAGGAAGAGCATCTGTTACCTTACTCCAAATGCTGGTTCCCAAAATGCTCAACTGCTCCCAGTTTCTAATGTAAACTGCTCATGTTGAATTTTTTCTCAGCTTACAGGTGGTTGCTGAAGGATTTGCTGTTCCTTTTCAGGTCTTTTTCAGTACCGTGTGATCCTTGTTCCTGAGGAATATAAGGCATGTGCAGTTTATGCTCTTAGTAGGCATGTACAATTTATGCTCTTAGCCCTTTATATGTGACTTTTGAAGTGGCTAGCTAATTCAATGTAAATCTGGGGGAAGGATAAAAGTTTTCTAACACCAAGAATACCCAAGGCTCTGTCCTGCAGCATGACCAAGTCCAAAAAAAAGTCCTCAAGAAGGATCAGAAATCCCTCTAATGGGTAAAAACACTTCGGAGCAGCCCAGCTCCAAAGAGTTAATCTAGAAAGAAATCTGAGGTGAGGTAAGAAATAAAGTCTTGAAACACAAAATGATGCAACAGCAGTTAGACTTGGTAGGATTTCTTTCAATTCTCAGTTGACATTTTTAATCTCTATTTGGAGGTGGTCCCCTGGCTTACTACAAAAAGTGGCCTTTCTCCCTGTGAAGAGGAGCATCACCTCTTTCCTCCTGTGTATTTTCATAGAATTAACAAAATTAATGTCCTGGCTTGACAGATGCCAGAACCAAGGGACCCTCTGTTAATCAAATTGTAATGACAACTACGTGACTTTACAAGCCTGAGTTTTATTATATTCTCAGTTTGCAGGAACTTCCCTTAGTTAATTATTGGAAATCTTGGAAGCAGCTTGTTCTGCAGCTGGTTACAAGCATCCTTATAAAAACCAACAGCATCCTGCGTGGATCTCCTTGATTTCAGATTTCAAGCACGCTTGTTGCTGGCGTTATTTCTGTTTAGCCTCAGCAGTTAGTAAAATGTGGTATTTTGATAATAGTTTAGGTAAAAGGAGATACTGACGATGAAAAGTCACCTTTCCCTGAATACAGTACAAATCAAATATGATCTTTTTGTCTGTTTGGTTGTTATTTATCTTCAACTTGCTGCTCTAAGACTCATTCCAAAACGTGCTGTTTCCAGAGCGCAAGGAAGCTCTTCAGTTCTCAGCTCCTCTTCTGCACCAGACTCACTAGACGGCCTGGGACTAGATGGCCTGGGTAACCGTATCCCTCCAGTTCCCCTGCCACCAAGCACAAAGAAATGCAGCTGCTCTATTATTTGGCCTAAGTAAAAGGCAGATAAGGTGCTCGCTAGCGTCAGTGAAGTCTGATACTCCCCGATAAGCAGAAAGCACCTTCTCTAGCAGAGCAAAAACTTCTGGAGGCCATTTTTGGTAATAAGAAATAGGGAAGAAAAAAGCCTAGAACTGTCCAGAGAAACTAATATATCCCTGTGAAAGAAAAACAATGGAAAGTGCATGAGAATTACCATTTTCATTCACTATTTCAAAATCACTTCCCAAAATGCTCTTCCTTGACGGTCTTCCTCCCTGATGTGGGTCCCTAAGGACCAGCTCTCTCCGATGGCACCCTCAGTATTCCCAGTCCTGGGAATTTCCTACCTTTATCTGCCCAGATATCATGAACTAGGGATCCTCTGGACCTCAGTATGTGAGTGCCACTTGTTGGCACTGCAATTTCCACTGTAAATGGGAAAAGATAACAAATATTTAGCAAAACAGATTAACAGATTAACATAAACACTCCTCAGTGTCCTCATACCTTTTACTACTGCATCATTTAAAAGCACCCAAATCAAAGGGGGCGAATGCTTAACAAATATTATTATCCCATAATAATTTGAAATAATAATGAAATAATTTGTATTTGTAATAAATGCAGCAATCCCTGGAGCTGATAGGAAAAGGATGAGAGAGAGAAAAATGGTTGGGTATTTTCATAAATCAGATTTACAAGCGTGTACACACAATGCTGCTTTATTTAAATGACTGTATATAGGAGATGACATTATGTACGAAACTTTATACCAAGGGAGAAAACAAAGACTGGAGAACTGGAGTGTCTGATAGGCGAGTTAAAAGTAAATGCACCTAAGGAGGGTGACAGCACAAGCCCCGTTTCCTTAGGAAACCACATACAAAACGCTTCCACGCTCCTACCTATGGAAATTCTGAAGAAAAATTTGAAAATATGATAAAGTGCAGGCTGGAGGTTTACGTGCAAAAAAAGCAAATTCAGCCCTCACTCGTATTTTTCACTTGTGGTTTTAATGCAAGATCCACATCGGTTTGCAGAAGGGCACACAGCAGTGAAAGCCTGATGCAGAGGGATGCGGAATGGAAAAGTGTCTATTGCCAATCCTTAATTGAAAATAATAATATATATATTTATATATAGTGTATATATATTTTTATATATATATTCTTTCTATGCATTAGCAGCCTGGCTGTGCAAAAAAAAATGATGCTTCTATACAGGTGCAGGACACTAAAACCAAACCCTTCTGATATCACCTTTTCTCTATGATCCCTCCACCTTACGAGGCTTCCCCTGAATCTAAGGTATTTGCCTTAATTTTAACTACATGAAGTAACTACTGCTACTTAATTTTAATTACAACATGCCACATTTTTGGAAATGTCCAAACTCTGTTAGTCAGTTTGGGGCTGAAACACAGTTCCTGGGCAAAAGGGTGGCTCTCAAAGGAGCCCAAAACAGAGGCTGTTTTTCAAAATGTTTTTGGGACAAAGATCAGATGGTAAAATGAAGGGAAAGCCCCCATCTTTCACACTTGATGCTCTAAGAGACAATAAAGAGGCCGGCTGCTTCCTCAGCGTCTGCCTCCAACAGATGCAGAAAGCCGAAGCAGAGCGTAAAAACATAAGGTAGGAGAGGAAAAAAAAGAGAGAGAGAGAGAGGAACTTCCACCTACAGAGACAAGAAACTTATTTTAATGAGTCTTACAAACATCAGCCCTTCCCTTCCCCTTTGAAAAACAGTTTCCGTCGCTCCCCCCTCAACTTTCGGGGCAGTGGAGGCGGCGCGCGGCGCCTCCCCTCAGCTCTTCCCGCCCTTTTCCTCAAGCGGCCGTTACGGCCGTTAACGGCCGCAGCGGTCCCGGCTCGGCGCGCGCGAGACGGGGATTGGACGAGGCGGCGCTACGTCACCTCCAGCGCTTTCCCGCCTCTGCCGGCCGTGGCTACTGCGCAGGCGTGAGGGGAGGTGGGAAGGGGCGGGCGCCTCGGTAACGCGGCGCCTGAGGTAAACAAGGGGAGGCGGCGCTTGGTCGTGTCCGTGAGGGCTGTTCTGGTGTGGACGGGTACTGTGGACCGGGCGCCTGCGCTCGCCGAGCCTTCGGTTCCCGCTCCAGGCAAAGCTGGGGCTGTGACGGGCGAGCGGGCGCGTTTGGGCGCTGCGTTTTTATTTCTGGAGTGTGGATCGGGCGTCCCTGCAGCTGGTGAGGGGAAAAACTGTGGAAAAGCCGCCCTGCTTCTGCACCTCGCTGGCGGCGGGGGAGCTCTCGACAGCTTTATGGCTTCTGCCTTTATGCTGCTGCCTCTGCAAGTGTTTCTCTGGGCTGCTAGCACCACTTTGCAATTGAGAGCATCGTTCCCATGCGAATTTTTCTTGTCCTGCTAAGGAAATCTCATCCTGGCAGAGAAACCCAGAGCTCTGGAGTCAGGCAGAGTTGGTGGACAACGCCACATCCGCAAGTGAATCTTTGTAAGGAAGTTTTGGTTAGCCATGGCACACCTGTGCCTGCTTTGGCAAGGGTCTGATTTTTTTTTTTTTTCTTTTTTTTTTTTCTTTTTCCGACTACAGAAGAATTCGGGAGTTGGGGAGGTGACATTAATGCCTTGCCTGGTGTTTAACCCACTGCGTGCCTGTGTGTTGCAGGGTGCGTCCTCTGGGCTTGATGTGGAGTCCCTCAGCTTGAGAAAAGGACTCACCATGGTAATGCAGCCTTGGTTCTTCTTAAGTGCATGGACAACGTTTCTTTAGGGAGTGGGGTTAATATCCAAAAAGCTCCTTGACGAGGCTGCAGGGCATAAACTGACCTGATAACTCTATGTTTAATGCACATTTTCATGAGATTCTGCTCTCAGCTTTTCTTAGTAAGTTCTAAAGTTCTGCGTATGTCATAAAGCCCCCAGTGGAACTGCTTGTAGGGAATGAAAATTCCGCACAAATACAGAGGTTCCAGCACTTTTGATGACTGCCCAGATGCCCTGGTGATGGTTGTACCTTAAGAAAGAAGAGATCCTGACAGTAACTGAGAGGCCTGCCTTCACAGGCCGAAGAAAAGCTGTGCTCTCTCCAACATCATGCACTTGAGGCACTTGATCACTGATAGTAAAAGAGGCAGCTTTACATCAGAGATGTTCCCTTGTTCTTGCCGCAGACTTATGCCAGCAGCTTGCACTTGTGTGCATGAAAAGCATCTTTTTTATTTTGAAAGACTGGTGTCCTCTGTACAGTTCAAAGCACCACCAGGAACCTAGCTGTGCTCTCCAGATCTGCTGGTGGCCCTGGTGGCAGTGCAGAAACAGGGAGTTTGATTCAGGAGGCTGACTGAAAAAAAAAAAAAAAAAAAAAAAAAACAACAAAATCTTTTAAAATAAACATCTCTGTAGAGCATGTACATTCCATCACATTCAACACTCAACATCACTATTGGACAGAGTTTGTTGAATTAAGATCTGTAAAAAGGTCCATCGTCCTCTCTATGTCTGTATCTGGTACCTTATTTTTGCACTGAAGAGTACTAAGCTGAAAAGGGACTGTTTAGAACTGATGCAGTTAAAAATACACTGATGTGCTGCCTTCCCTTTGTTTATGCCCAGCTGACAGTTACACGTGACCTTTCTGACCACATCTATCCTAATTCTTCCTGACGAAGAAGCCAGCTGATCTGTTTAATTAGCAGTGTGCAAAAAGGCAAATAACACAAATGCATAAATTGGCTTGGTGTGAACTGAAAGTGCTCTTGGCACCAGACTGGGGATCAAATCTTCACAATAAAGACACAGGGCTAACTGTTTCTGTCACCATTTTCTCTCTGCAGGTAGTTAAAGGTAGCAAACCCAAGCGTGGCAAGGGCAAAGGCTCCAAAAAGAAAGCAAAGAAGGTGACGAAGGAAGTGGATGTGCTCAGCCCCGCTGCAATGCTCAACGCCTACTACGTCTGCCACAACGCCCCGGCCTGCTTGGAGCTCCGAGGCTTTTCCTGGCCTGGCTCCCCCAAAAAGAAAGGGAAGAAAGGAAAGTAGTTGGATGCCTGGAAAGCAACAGATACAACAACAACAAAAAAAAAGATGCTCCCCATGGAAGAAAAGACTTTTCTGAGGATTAGCCTCAAACTGACATTTTCAGTGGTTAGCTCAAATAATCTGCTGTGGTTGCTGCCAGGTCCATACAAGGATGCTCTTACTATAGCACAAGCGTGGAGTGATGAGTGGCAAGTGGCCACTTGGCCATCATAGTTTCAGCCCTGGAGCTCAGTTCTATTGGAATAAATCATTGCACCTCAGCAGTCGGAAGGGCTTGGAGCACGTCTGATTCATGCCCGCTCCTGTTCTCTTATGGGGGATCTTGCTGCCCAGGAGGATGTGCTGCACCTCCCATTGCTTTAACTGGGATTGATGGAAACCTGAACATGGAAAGCAGATGCAGTAGGTGTGGTGTCTGCATCAGCATGGACCTGAGAGTCACTCTGAGCTCCCTTTCTGGTCAGCCACAGTGACATCAGCCTCTGTGTGACAGCCCAGGGTTACTTTGCTTGATTTCCTTGCTCTGAATGCAGTGAAGCCCTTGGGAAATGACAAACCAATGTGGCAAGTAAAATAAATCTCCCAGATTCCCAGTCCACACCAACTCTTAAGGATGCAGTGGAGCAATCAGGACAGGAGAACCTGCGTGCTGAACTGATGAAGGCTGTGGTAGGATTGGGGAAAACCGAGGACAGGTGGAATCTTGCAAAAAAAGACTTGGGAAGGGAGAACTTGCAATGGGCTAGAGCTACTCTGGGGCAGGCCCCCCTGTTCTGTAGCATGCCCCATAATAATAATGTGATTGTCCCAAATGGATGAAAATTTGCAAGGCCTTATGCTGTTTTTCCAGCTTGAAGTATTTCCTCTATGAAAAGGTCTTGCCTAGACAAAATCAGAGCTTTGTGGCACTGCCTGCAGGCCCAGTATTGTCATTCCCAGGCTACTGCCCTGCTGAATTTTTCACCTGCCTGCCAGGGAAATCACGGTGGGATCCCATTTCCCTGCTCATTTGCCTGCAGCTGGCACATGCTGCTGAAGCAGAGACGTCCTTTGCTGTACCAGTTTGCTCAATGTGCTGCATAGACTTGTCTCCCTCAGCACTTAAGCATATTCTTGCTTCCCCATCACCCACCAGGAAGTCTCTGGCCACATCGTAGACTTGCAGCTATTTCCTTCAAGTAACAAGGTTTTGAAGACAGTGTTTGCTTTGTCTGTATTTTATTTTTAAAACTACCCCCCCCAAAAAAAAAAAAATTAATCCCACTTTGTATGATAAATTTTCTAAGCACAACTTTTAAGGGACAGGTATTTGGGAGCTTTGGAAAGAACATCCTTGTGGACAGCCACCCCTCACAGCTGCCTCCAACATGGCCATTAGCAGCTGCTCCCATCAAATGCAACTGTCCTAATTAAGCCAAGCCCCTTTTTACATATGTGATAGACCGGAGCTGCAAGGATTTCCGACCAAAGTTTAGTATGCAAAACTGACTGCAGCAAATAACCAAATATCATTGTATACTTCCTTCAATAAACCCTAATTTCTGCGTGATGCAGTTGAGCCCACCAGGTAGTGCCCAGGTAAAAGTCTGTTTTGCCTAAACCCCTCCCAAGAAGCTTTTGAGGGGGAACTGCAGGCTCGGGGGGCTTTGCTTTGGGGCACGGTGCAGCGAACCTTCACAAGGAGGGCTGTGGGGTTAGGGCTTCCTTGCTCAGCTGCTGCCTACGCAAGGTTAGCGCTTCCTGCAAGAAGCTCTTCAGCAAAACCAGGCTGTTAGCAGAGTGGGGGGGACGTAGAACTGCTGTTGCAGCTCGCAAGGATGAGCTACCACTATATATATAAGGGGTTTAAGCAATCGACACGACCTACCACATTTGGTATTTGAATATTTCGAGCTCTGTGTAAGCATCCCTTCTTTATTTTCTCTATTCAGCAATTCCATATTGCTCAGTATTTCTAGCACATTATTTTCACGTTAAGGAAAGCTTGGCCTTAGGCCTAGATTTCTGAGATCTTGTTAACTTATAAATGATTCTTTGCATTTAAAAGTGATGCCTGGACTTACCTATATCTTGCTCAGACATGAGAAAGTTGGTAAATTGCACATATCCTTTTTTGTTTGTTTTTCATCCTTAGAAATGCAGTGGTGGTAAAGAGAGGTGAAGACTTTTTGGTCCTGCATAGTAGGTAATAATTGCTATCTCTATAATAAGGAGGTTATTATGGTGAATTTTTAAATAAAAGCTTTTATCTAAAAACAGTGTCAGAAGAAGAAAGAATCTTTCTGGTAGGAATCTTTCTGCTCCTCTTTCTCTGTCTTTTCAAAAGTTCTCCAGGCACAAAGAGTGTCAATTGATTCCACTTTATGAAATGCTCCTGTCTTTCAAGCTTTCTGTTTATGTTAAACAGGCACAAGTCCAACCCTTCTCCCTTTCACTACGAGCTGTAGAAAACACCAGAAGGAAGAAAAGATTAGACCTTCCTGAGGTGGGTATTCTCTGAGACGCGTTGTCTAGCAATGCTAGAACACTTGGGAATATTCCAAGCTTTCCTGTACATGGAGACATATTAATAAGGTGGTGGTAGTTTTCTGCTTTTTTTTTTTTAATATTATTTGTTAAATTACATAAGTTTTCTAAAGAAAAAGTACAGTGAATTAGCAGACGGGCTTTTCACAGATATTTTTGATGATCCTCATAGAGGAAGCCCACAGGGAGACCTTCCCTGCTCCAGACGTCCACAACCATATGTTAAAATCGCAAGAGAATCTTGTGAAGAAAGTAGCTTTTTCCTTATTTTTTAGGTTTAGGCTGCACATGTTGTTGTTAAAGGTAAGCAATATTTAGTTCTTTAAAAATAAAGCAGTCCTTTAAGTTTGCAGTGTTCTTTCCAGCTTATTGCTGTATGACCTTAGGAGAAACATAGTTGAAAGGATTTTTAATTTACAGTCTGATCCTATATTCAGGATTAAGCTAGAGTAAACTGAGTGTGAAATCCTTGGGTTTTTTTTTTTAATGAAAAAAAATACTTCAAGAGAGGGCTAGCATCACCATTTCTCCTGTCTCCTAGCTCTACTTTTCACTTAAAAAAAAGAAATTATAAAGCAAAATTTAAAAGTTCAGGAGAACACATGGTTAAAGTGGTTGCATTGGAGTGGCCATGAGTATAAGTTATGAAGGAAAATGCATACTGAGATGTTAAACCAGAGGTATGGAAATAGTCAACACACCTGTAAGAGACTTCAGGTGGGCTCATTGCATTAGTTATGCTGGGATCTCTTTATAGGTAAAAGGGAGATAGAAATGGGCACGTGGGGCCTGACCAAGTGCAGTACTTTTAGCCCCGACTTCACGATAAGTACCTTAAAAATGGGCACCTGCATCAGGGATGTTGCACTTGGCCAGATGAATTCCCTTCTTGCCCACCAATTCAGACATAAAGGCATTTGAAGGGGCTGCTGCTGGACCAAAAATCCTGCGTTTCTTTTTCACATTCATGGGAAACTGCTCATTTCCATATGCAGAAAAAATGCTCTATTTTCTCTTCCTTCCCCACAGGGTCGGTGGGTGTCCCTCCATAGCATGTGATGCAGCACAGTTCATGCGGAGCACACAGCCACAAGCACTTGGATTGCTTCGCTGCCCAGCAGGAATGATCTGGCTCCCTTCTTATTTACAGAAATGTGTTGTCTGCGATGGCTGCTGTGAGTTTCTCTTCATGGCAGTTCAAATCGCTATGTAGGTCAGCTGTGGTTCTTGGAAATGCGGGATGTTTATGCAGGCAGGGAATTCCTGTTTTGTGCCATATGTTTCTGATGAGGCTGGGAATTTCCCACTCTTGATTTAATGTTGAGAGGGTTGTGGAGGAGCAAGAGGGGAAGCTTTGCATGAGTAGGAAGGATCTTGCCATCAGAGAAGGGGAGAGACCCGCTGGGAGGATCTGCTTTCCCGTCTGCAGTGTTTTGCTGAGCAGTAAGCAGATTTTAGCAAGCCCCAAGACAGCAGAAGTAAAGGCTGGATCGTGCTGTAGATGAAAGCTGTGACATTCCCATGTTCTTCATTTGACCCTTTTGTTTAAAGTGAGTTATCTTACAACATCGTGATCAGCTTCCATCAACTGTAACAAACCCATGAAGATGTTAGATGTCTGAGCTGTTAAATAACTTGAGGTTCTCCATTACCTCTTATGGGACAGTACCCTGAGCCAAGCAGTGGTTGTCTTGTGGCTAAAAACATGTTGTATTTCCATAAAAAAAGGCTTTGATCTCTCAGGCATTTTATGGAAACTTCTGTGACAAAACATGACAGGACACGGTATTAGGAACTTCTGCTTAGTCCAAATACTTGGGAGCAAGAGGAATGCAGGGATGAAAATGGACGTACAGTGGCAGAGGGACCATTGTGGAGCTTCACTTTTAAATCAATTTTGTGCATCCTCTGGAACCAAGGAGAGCTCCCTGGCCTCCTCACTCTCCTGGAGTTAGGAGAAAGTGGGAACACAGCCATAAAAAAAGAGGCTTTTCTTCATACAGAATGAAAGATCTTTTCTGTAACCCGGAGCAAACAGACAGGATCCCCAACACAATAACCCTTGTGCTTGCCACAGTGTTTGAGTCACCTGGCCTGAAAGGAGGTTCTTGAAAGGAGGGATCCTTCTTATGTCGCCTATTTTGGCTCCTGGGATGCTTCCCCAGGAATCTGGCAGTTTCTGAAAACAGATAAAATATTTTGGAAGTACCTGATAATTATAGATTCCCTTTTGGGAGCTGTCCAAGGAGTAGCTCTGTTCTCTTAGACATGTGTAAGTGCTTTGACTACTCATCTTTTTCTGTTGTCTTACACAAGGGGCTTGGATCATTTCATGACAACCAGCAGAGATCAGAGTAGAATAAATAGGTAACATTTTGAGCTCTTTAGTGGCAGCTGAGATTCTTCTTACGTTTCTCTACCTAGGATTGCACTTAGAGCTTGCACTTTTAATAGTTGGTACTTTTAATATTCTGTACTTTCAATAGTCTGTGAGACTTCAGATTTGTGACCTCCTGGATGCATCTCCAGCGAGCTCCTGAGTGTCTAAATCTTTAGATGTCTTATAATTGTTTGGGAATGAAGGAAATCCAGTAGGGGTGACAGAGCCACAACAAGGGGCGGCTGTCCAGGTTCATCCAGCTCTGGCACTTCCAGGACGCGGTGATGTTAATTCTGAGCTTACCAATGGTCACAACCTGGAGTTGTGAGGGGACAAACCAGCTGGAGCTACTTGGGCTGACAGTGCTGGACAGTCCTTTGATCCAGCACTGTTCTGTCCAAGACTGGAACCATCAAATCAGAGCGGAGCTGCTGCGATCTCCTGCCTGGGGGCTTCTCCCGGAATACCCTGTCATTCTGTGTCTGTGGATCTGAGCCACCTGAAGATGATGCGTGGGCAAGAGGAGCAGAAAACCGGCTGTTTGAACCTGCTGTAACCCCCTGCCTTCCTGCTGCGGCAGCAGACAGACCTTGGCCAGCTGCTCCTCTGAACTGTCTGAGCTCCTGGTGAAGGTGACCCCAATCTCACCTGTCCTGGGAGCATGATCAATATTTCACTAATGTCACAGTGACAGGCAAAACAAAAACCTTTTTCCCTTACACACAGCCTAAGCTACAAATTAATTGTATTTTCCTGTGGCTTCTGGTTATCGAACAAGGAAAATACGGGTTGTTGCTGTTTCTATAATGATCTTTCATACAGTGGAAGATTGTTTTTGTCCTCCTTTCCATTAAACTCCCTATTTTCAGGTCATTAGGATATGAAAGTACAATACTTCCAGCCTTTTTTTTCCCCTATGATACATTTCCAACCTGTTATTATTCTTGTTGTTTTGCTGTGCTCCATAATGGTGCTGCTTCATCAGCACAAGGTGACAATTAACACCTTTGAAGTGTAATTTTTATTCTCCTCACATGTTGCTACACGGCAGAGTCATAAAACTGAGATGCCTGGGATTAAACTGCCCTAGATTTCAATGTCTGTAACGTAAGCAAGAGCATCTGGAAGACTAGATTATTGAATTCGTAAAGTCAGTAGAGTTTAGTGTGTAATTTTTCTGATCGCATGTACATAAGGAATTCAGAATAACATGAATTGTGCCCTGATTCCATTCATTGTGAAAAACAAAATGTCTTGTTCACATACAGAAAACCTCATCTAGTGAGATCTGTTCTACTCTCTGCAATATGTAAGATTTTACTGGAGAAGAAAATTCAGGTTTAGTGTGAAAATAGAAATGGAAGTTCTTCATAAAATGATGAATCCAAAGAGACTGATATAGTCAGGGCTTGGAATTCCTCAGGGATATGGGTTGAAGGACATAAAAATGGATATCAGAAAACTTGAAAACGCCTGTGATTCTGTGATCTTGGGCAATGAGGCAGAATATTTGCTCCAGAGAAAACATGCTGCTGAGAGAAGACATGAAAACTGTTATTTTTGGCTCAGTGCAATGGTCCCCTCAGTCTCTAAAGAGTCAATCACATTTTCTGCAGCTCAAAAGAAGGCTGAAAATCCCAGAATTAATTCTTTAGCTGATGCCACTACCAGTCTAAGCCAGTGATCTGAAATGGGGACTGTAGGAATTCAAAGACTTCAAAACCCGGGTGAGTTCAGAGCTTCCTCCCTCTTTGCTTCAATCTGGATTGCCTAGACAGAGCGTGGCCTCTTAAAGATTTTTAAGAACAGGTTTCCTAGGGCAAATTTGGGTGTAGCTGTTCCTACTTTGGAGCAGTGCAGTAGCCTAGATGAGCATGAGCTTGGATATTTTAAAGGCAACTGGTCCTCTGTATTTTCTTGTTTTACTGCTGTCAAAATTTCTACCTTGAAGCAGTCTTGAAAACAACATTTGTAAGATTTGAGCTTCCTCTTTTTGGAAGGCCTTTGAAACGAGCCCTTAACACCTACATTTTTCCCTAAGGAACCACAAGCGATCTCAGCCACATGACACTTTGCGGGAGGACACGCGCCTGGACCAGCTGCAAATACATAGGCCCTTGTTTTGTACACAGTATGAGGCATGCCCAAGATCTAAGGAGGATCCCACAGATTTATCAGATAGTTTTCCATCTGAAAACCATTTTCCAAATAGACAATTTTCCAGAATTATTTTCCAAATGGACAACAGAACATTCTGAAAGACACAGACCTTCCTCTAAACCCTATGAGCATCTTTGAGCATGCCGCGAAGTGTGTTGTGCCATTAAAGGCCACCAACCCAATGCCAAGCAATCCACAGTGAGTATTGATGCTCTCCTTCACCTTGCAACTCCCCTCCTCCCACGGCCACTGTTTTGTGCAAACACCTATGAAGAGAATGATATAAAAATGAAAATGAGCTGAAACGGCGTTGTAAAGGTCTGTGAGAGATGTTCTAATATTTTGCTAGAAAGAAGCAACACAGCCATTGCCTGTCAGGCATCCTGGTTCAGAGAACAAAAATACACCCCGGCTTCAGCACATCTGAGCCGCGGAGGAGTGGAGCAGAGCTCAACAGTTCCTCAAAGAGGAAGCGCGGTCGTCTTGGGCTTATCTCTCCCACCCAGATGTAAGCTCAGCCCTTCTCGCTCCCACTGGCAAGGCCAGCCAGGGGAAAACGGCCTCGCCTGCTGTGCAGCTTAGGTGAGGTTGTCTTGAGTAATGAAGAAAAGCAAATTGTGCACATCTAGCTCGGCGCAGGCGCTCTTCTTACTGCTCAGGGAAATTATTTCCCAAAGAAAAGTGGGCGAGACCTGAAGAAACATCTCACAAAGACAGGCCCGGTCTCTGCAATAGGTCCCGCACAGCACGTTACTCATAAGCTGAGCCCGCGGTAGCAGGAGAGCAGCAGTGCCCAGGTGTCCTCCTGGTGAGCACTGGGACTAGTGAGGAAGAACTTCTTTACTATGAGGGTGACAGAGCAGTGGAACAGGCTGCCCAGGGAGGTTGTGGAGTCTCCTTCTCTGGAGGTCTCCAAAACCCACCTGGATGCCACCCTGTGCCACATGCTCTGGGTGTCCCTGCTTGAGCAGGAAGGTTGGGCTAGATGATCTCTAGAGGTCCCTTCCAACCTCAACCATTCTGGGATTCTGTGATTCTCTGACTACCCAGCACTTCCAGCAGCAGCACAGTCCTCACACAGCACAAGCCTCTGCAGGGAAATTGTGGATCCCCACACCACAAGGTGGCTAATCTTGTCCTAAAATGTGCTTAAAAAATAAAAATCCTCGCTAATGTATTTAAAAATAAGCTTTAGGCAAAGTGCTGGGACCAGGGAGGAGATGCCTTCCTGGCAAAGTTCCTGCTCATTTCTTCCCTTTTAGTTGTCTTTTCTGTGTCCCTCCACTGCAGCGGCGGAAAATAATAAGGTAAAAAATGCCCTAACAGGTAAATTTGCTGCCCCCTGGACTATTGCCAGGTACCAGGTGTATTGATGTAGCATTCAGCCCCTAAGGGAGAGGGATGAGATTGGAGCCTCTTGGCTGCCACAGGACAATCTCAGATGTGCTCCACCAACCTGGCTGTTCATAAGCCACGCAAATCTGCTTTACTGTACATTACCAAAAAAACAATTTTGCAATGGCTTCTGTACTAATGGAAAGCAATGGGTGTGTATTTTTCCCTCTCTGAAAAACAGGGAGAGAAGGAAAAAGCCCACCAGCTGTGTCTGTAGTCTTTCCCTACAGTCTGCAGCATATGTGTTAAAAAACTGCTCGGTTGCTTCTGCTAACTCATCCGGGTGTTTTGTTGGCAGCGCAGCGGGTGAATCAGTTGCTTTCCTCCAAGCTCAAGATGAATAAGAACTCCATGTGAAAAACACCCATGGACTTTTTCTCTCTGGATGCAGGAAGCCAAGAGGCTGGGATCCCACCTTGTAACGCTGACAGGCACAGGCAGCTTAACAAGTGCCACAAGGCAGACGTTTTAACTACGAGGCAGCCGGGACATCGTGTGGGAAAGAGCCCCGGAGTAGAAGTGCTGCCAGGAACGTGTCTTCCCCAGCAGCACCATGTGCAGCTCCGGCAGTTCCAGCGAGTCGGAGACAACCTTCCCACATAAATCCAGCAAGATAACAGACTTTCTGCGCTTGTAATACCAGCAAACGAGCAAGAGTCGATGTGTTTAGGAAGTCTAAGTCCTAATGCTGGAGCAGTCTCCAAAATGGCTTTTGGGGAACTATCCCTCTCTCATTAGCTTTGCAGATGGGAAGAAAATGCTGTCCATGATAAGCAGGGGAGACACGTGCGGATGTTCAGCTGAAATCAAGAGCCTTGGCTCGTTCCTAGTGGAAAATGTGCCACTTCAGAGGCCCTCCGGGCACGTCCCACACCGTTGCCTCGAGCGAGGCTTGTGTCCCACGCGCACATTTCTCTTGTTTACCCAACTACAGGCACTTTGAGAGGTGGAAAAACGAGCGCGGGCGCCAGCAGCAGCAGCCTCAGCCGGGTGCATTTCCACGTGTTCACCTGCCCATTCCACCGCGATGAGCAACACGCGGCCACGGGGACAGGCAGACGGACCCGGAGACAACAGGTCATCCAGCCCCATCCCCGAGGCAGCAGCAGCTCCACCGACAGCATTCCTGAGCAGCTCCAGCAGCGGCAATTCCAGAGCCGCTCTCCGCTTGTCCAGTATTAGTAGGAAAAATAAAAATAATTTTAAAAAATGGTGGCTACATTTCACTCCATTGAGCAAATGATGTTATCTCGATAATTGTCTGTAAAAAAATATAAAACTTGCACGGTGCATGTAAGACATCCTTTTTCACGGGGACTGGTGATACCTGCTCCAAGGAGAGTTGTAAAATCTTGATAGCGAATAACACTGTAATGACAGAAATTGTAATTGTCAGTAGTACAATGATATCCTC